GAACCTGACGCCAGGGGGAGCAAGAACCCGTGCTCTCCAGATCTCGCGGGAGTTGCTCGCGCGCCTGCGCGCGCGGTAACGTCGCGGGTTCTGTTTCTGACGGAAGCGCGGGGCGTGAAGAAGGAGCTACCCTAGAGCGCGCGGCCTCTCCTGTGGCGTGGGAGTTGCTTCCGGGTTGCACGCCCGGAAGCAGGAAGTTGTCGGCTTACCCTCCTTGCCCGGCGGCTGCTGTCCCCGAGGCGGGAGGAGCCCGAGAGGGCGCGGGCCCCGCATGTGAGTGACTGGGGCCCGAGGCCGGGAGGGGGGGAGGCCGCGCTGTGACAGCCTCACCGCCGCCGCGCCCGTCTGTGACATCCTCGAGCAGCCCCTTGCCCCTGCGCAAACCCTTTTCCTGAGCCTCAGGTGTTTCGCAGACTATCCCCGGCAACTTCCCCCTTCGCCCCCCCGCCAGGATCGACTCCCTTAAGACCTCTTTTCTTTCCTTGGCTCCGTGGGGCCGAGTAAAGCGAGGTTGACCTTGCTTGAACCTGTTTCGCAGGCGTCACGGCAGTGTCCACAACACGATTGGCGCCAGCGAAGTCTAGATTTCACTGTCCTTTTGACGGATTTCTAATTTTTTTTGTATATTGGGAGTAGATTTCCCGCTCCCCCCAACATCTTTTTCTAATAATTGTCAAGAAATTTTTTTTTAAGTGTGGACTTGGTATGTGATAACCGTAGCATCTAAGATTTCAGAAAGTTGATGACTTGGTTTATTGACCCGATGAACTTGTTTGTAATCACTTTTTAGTACAAAAATCGCCTGCCTTGTGTTCCATAGTGTCTTAAGACCATTAATCCTGCTGTCACACCTTTTCCTGTTTTTTTTTTAATTTTTTTTTAATTTTTATTGTATTTATTTATTTATTTTTTAACACCTTTTCCTGTTTAAGAGCCTGCATAGCCTTGGTATTCACGAGTACACTTAAAATATTCAGTCATCATTTTATACTAGAAACTACTCCCAGATACTTATTATTCTGACTTTTTCTGGTTGCCATTTGGTTTTCCCATGGTGGAATCCTCTATGGGCATTTCTCCCTTAATAAAAGTGTATATTTGAGTTTATCACAATTTCTTTTCTAAGGAACAACCCAAATGCAACTTTGCTACATTGAAGGTTTGACTGAAGTTCACATAGTCCAACTTGCATACCAAAGAGTTTGCCCAGTTAGGCCTTTCTGCTTTGGACCAAAACAACTTTCAAGACCCAGTTTGAATCCCTGTTCCTCTATAGCTGCCCTACACCACCACAGATTGTCTAAATGGGAGGTTCCTAATCTGCTCATCTAAATCCTTCTTAGGTTGATATATTTTTAAGAGTAAGAATAAAAGTTAAAATGAATAAAGCGTTAGGTAAATTAGTTTGGGAAAAGAATGATCACTTTAGGTCCTTTCTATAAATTTGCTTAGTAGACATTGATCAGGTTCCATGTCCCTGAGGTGAATTTCCATGCCTGTTTTTAGTTTCTTCTGTTATTTTCTCCATTTATCTTTGGTTTCAGGTGTTAACAAAAATTCAAATGAGTAAATTTTAAAGATATAATTGGCTTTATTAATCAGTTCATTCATTAGGCAGCATTCCCAGTCTAGCAAGTAGAGGGGAGCTCCTAAGGGCTACAGAAAAGGGAAGGTTTTTAAAGGTAGAGAGAGGGGCGCCTGGGTGCCTTAACCGGGTAAGTGTCCAACTCTTGATTTTGGCTCAGGTCATGATCTCAGGGTTGTGAGATTGATCCCTGCGTTGGGTTCTACGCTCAGCAGGGAGTCTGCTTGAGATTCTCCTTCTCCCGCTCCCCCCTCCTCCAAAAATAAATAGGGAGCACCTGGGTGTCTCAGTCATTTAAGCGGCTGCCTTCTGCTCAGGTCATGATCCCAGGGTCCTGGGATCAAGCCCCGCATCAGGCTCCATGCTTCGCGGGGAGCCTGTTCCCGCTCCCCCTGCTTGTCCTCTCTCTGTCAAATAAATAAATAAACCTAAAAAAATAATAACAAATAAATTAAAATCTTAAAAAAAAAAGGTAGAGAGAGTAGAACAAAGGCTTTTTTTTTTTTTTTTTAATTAGGCAAGGTCACTCTCCTAAGGGGAATGGGATGAGTTCTATCAGTAAATTTTCTAGCGCTGACCAGAAATTCCATGTTGACTGGTTAAAGTTCTAAGGGATTTGAAACTGTAGTTAGGTTAGGTGTTAAGTCTTGGTTTACTGACTTAACCTAAGGGACACCATTTGGGGCCTGTGATTTTCTTTTTAACACAAGAAACAATTTAGTGTGAGGCGACATGGCAATAGGTATAGTATAATACAGAGTGATCGAGTTGTGTTTAAGGTTCAAAGGACAAACATCAAGGCTGGAATAAGGAGTTCACTCATTTGAAAAGCATGGGAGCTAGACTTTGTAGGCAGAGGAAATTATTTGTACAAAAGCAAAAAGATATGAAATGGTATGTCAGTGAAGCATGTGAGGAAGGAATGGGAGATGAGACTGAACAGGTAAGCAGTGACCAGGTCATAAAGGGCCATGCTAATAAGTAATTTGGACTTCATCTTATAACAATTATTAAGTATTAAATTTGGGTACCGGGACACATGTTTTACATTCATCATCTTGTAATCCCTGAACAACAGTGTTAGAAAGACACAATCATCCCCATTTTATAAAATAATGAAAACTCTGTGGCTTAGATTAAGTAGTATCTCATGGCTACATAGTAGATGGAAGATCAAATAATTGTCCAGCTTTTTCCAACTCCGTTGCCTTCTTAACCCACTGTCTACCTTGTTCCACAGCAGGGCATGGAGATTCAAGGAAGTTGCTTTATTTTATTTATTTATATGTTTATTTATTTGAGAGGGAGAGAGAGAATCTTAAGCAGGCTCCACACTAGGCCGCAGGTCTTGATCTCACAACCCTGAGGAAATGACCTAAGGCAAAATCAAGAGTCGGACACTTAACCAACTGTGCCACCTAGGAGCCCCTCAAAGAAGTTGCTTTAAAGAGATGAGTAACGTGAACCAATTTGTGTTTCAGAAAAATTTGTGGAGAGAGTAGAGGATGGATTGGAGAGGAGAAGGAGGACTGGAAGTATAGAGATTAATTATATCTTTGTGATGGTCCATGGGAGAGATGTTGAGGGCCTTAACTGCCATTATGTAGAGCTAAAGAGGAGATGATGAATGTGGGAACTATACAGGGGGTGGAATTGAGGATTTAGTGATTGGTTCATTGGTGTGTTTGAGGAAGAAGGAAGAGAGGTTTTTAATTTGGAGAACTGGTGTTTCCAGTAATTACAAAGCAGAATATGGTAGGAGAAATGGGTTACAGGGGGAAAATCGTCAGTTATGGACACATTACATACAGGGGACAGTAAGAAATTCTGGCCGGGGTGTCTGGTAGATAGGTAGATGGATGGTTTTGGAGTTCTGGAAAGTTGTAGACTGGAGAAGAGATTTGGCAATCACTAATAGATGGTGGTTAAGGCCACAGAGGGAATGAGAAGATCAAGGACAAATGTGATGAATACCGACATTCAGGGGTATAGTCTCTGAGAAAAGAGAATTGTGCCAAGGTTTGAGAGCACTTGAGGGAGAAAATGAATAGCAACAGCAGCTTTTGCAGAGAGGTCAGGTAAGGTGATAGTTGAGAAAACATCCTTTGGACTTGGCATGTAGAGAGCTATTGGTGGCCTGAGTGAGAGCAATATCGGTGTGAGCGGGGCAGAAATACAATTTCAAGAGGTTAATAAACAAATGGAGACCTGAGAAAAAAGGTGAAGTGATGCCTTTTTTTTTTTTTTTTTAAGGAGCTTGGCTATGAAGGGAGGGTGAACATGAGCACTGGAATTCTAGGGAGGAAGGGTTTGTTGTTGTTTTAATGGTAGAAACTAGAAAAGGTGAGGATAAGACCAGGTAAAAATAAGTTTTAAAATGTGGGGGTTACTGCTTCAAATATGTTAATACCATAAAGGACAAAAAAAAAAAAAAAAAGCGCCAGGATCTGTTCTAGATTTAAATAGACCAAAGAGAATTGACAGCTAGTTGTGATGTGTGACTATTGATTGGATCCTGCGTTTCTAAAAAACTATAGGGCGTTTTTTTAACAGAAATTTGACTATGGAGTGGATATTAGGTAATCTTAGCGAGTTATTTTAGTAGGTATGATAATTTTGCTTATGATTAAGTAGAGCAGTGTCCTTATTCTGAGGAGATGCATGCTGAAATATTTAGAAGTGATTTCATGATGTGTCACAACTGATTTTTAAATGGTTCTGGCAAAAGCAGAGAGGAGACAGGTAAAGCAAATTTGGCCAAACGTTAACAATCAATCTAAGGGAAGGATATACAAGTGTTTATTGTAGTAGTTCCGTTTGTCTGGAGGCTTGAAATTTTTCAAAATAAGCGGTTGGAAAAAGTGGAAGAGGCATATTTTCAGTGAGCGAAGAAAGTATCAGACTCACCAAGTTTCACTGGACAAAGATGTCCAGAAAGAGGACTTAGTCAAGTGATGCTAAAACTACAAAAAAGTAGAATTCCCTTAGCTGTAAATTTTGAGCACTTCTACATTTTTAAATTCCTGCTCTTTTAAGTCCTATTCTTTTAATGTTCATCAACTATTTTTCCTTTAAATATGTTTATTTTTCCTTAGCGGTTTTTATTACAACCCAAAGGCTGCGTTTTTTTCATTTTAGTAGAACATCTTCAGTTAATGGGAATCACTGGATAAAATAGAATGGAATTTGTTCATAACACTAAGGAATGGATTATCATACTGCATAGCTAGCGTAATACTAAAGAACCTAGTACCAGAAAAAGAAAATTTGATATTACTCGGGATATTGTCCCCACTTTTGAAGATTAGGGCTTCCCCTTTCATGTTTTAGCTAGATGCATCAATATGGCATCTCAGAGTTGCCTAACTTGGCACAGCTGTTTAGTTTGGAAAACTGAGAACCTCCAGGGTGATGTCAAATCAGTGTTTAGGACATATTTATAACCATGAAAGAATTCTGTATCAGACAGGGCAAAGCAAAAGTTTACATTCAGTGTGACCTCTTAACCTGTTTTCTGCTTTCAACATTTTTATTGATAAGTTCTATCAGAGTCATTCGATCAACTATGCCTCTGTCCTGTTTTTTTCCTAGACTGAGACCCAGAAGGAATTGTGGAGAACATCTCATCGGAGCTGTCAGTGGCTTCCTTCTATTCCTGAGATGCTCCTTCAGAAGTGAACAGCCTCCTGGCTTACCTCCCCCCTCACCTCCACCCCAGCCTCCCTTGAAAGCAGAATTTCTTAACCTTAGCACTCTTAGCAGTTTGAGTGGGACAGTTCTTTGTTTTGGGGGGGGGGCTGTCCTTGTAGGATGTTTAGTCTTTACCCACTAGATGCTAGTGGTGCCCCTCCAGTTGTGACAATCTAAAATGACTCCAGACATTGCCAAACGTCTCCTGGGGAGCGAACTCATTCCTACTTGAGAACTGCTATTCTAGAGCAGTGTCTCCTAATTGGGGGTGTGCCTTTACTCAACAGGGAAGAGTTTGAATACTTCTGCACCTGGATCCCACTCCCAGAGGTTCTAGCAATTCATTATGTCCAGGGTGGTGCGTGATACTTTGATTTTCATAATTCTGCTAGTGACCTTGCCTGTGCCCTCGCAGGTATAAGCCACTGTTAGAAGTCAAGCTCACTCTTTGGAACTTCCCTCTGTGGCAAAGCTCATTCCTGCCAGAGTTGGATCTTCTTTCTTTCTGGAGGTAAAGGAATTGCCATCAAGGCTCAGCTGATTTCACTCAGTCCCCTTGTGCTTGATGCTTAGCCGTGACTTTGTGTTTGATTTTTTTTTTAAGGGACAAGATTTTTTTTTTTTTTTAATATAAATCCTTGTGTTGAGGGCTGACTTTCAGATCACAGCAAGGGAGCTGCTTTGCTAGTATGAAATCCCAACCCAAAGGGATATTTTTTGTGTGGTTTATTAACATCATATCTACTAGATGTCATACCCCTCCAGTGTGACCATCAAAAATGTCTCCAGACTTTCCAAATGTCCCCTGTCCTGAATCACCCCCAGTTGAGGACCACTGGTCTAACCAAAGCCAAAAGGAGGACTTATTATAAAGATTCCTATATGCTCTTAGAAACTTTATGTAATTATTAATAATGACCCTTCCAGTGATTTGGGAAATGTGCCAGAATCTCAAGAAGGGTGTACAGTTTGCAGAAATATATTCAGTATCATAATACCATTGTATACTTGAATTATAAAAAAAAAACCCTCTTGTTTTTGCAGTACAAACTGGGGGTTTGATGAGATGTTTATGTGTATTAAAAGTAGGCAGAGGTTTACGATGGTAGGTAGTTCTCCTCACTTGCACTTCTGTTCCCTTCACAGTTCACAATAATGTGATGTTATCTGCTGCCTGAGGGATACCTACATGTGCCCCACCTTCCAGCAGTTTCAAATTTTTTACTGGAATTTTTTCTAGAATTCTGACTGCTCTCTTTTCTGGTCCTTTACTGAATTTTAATGGATTTTGACCGGATATTGTTGGGTAATTAATTGTAGTTTGAACATTATCCTTGCTTGCTTATAGAATGTCTGTTAATTTCAACAGAATAATGCTATCTCTGGAATCACTATTCACAAAATCACGATGTGAAAAATATTGTTAATAAGTTACTGCTTTATTCTTTTTCCAGGAATCATTGTAGTTGATCACTTTTCCAGTTCTCAACCACCAAGTTGTGATAATTGAGGGACATGGTGGTGTGGTTTCCGCACTGCCAGCTCAGAATAGGAAAATACTTGGTAAGGGAGGCAGCATGCATAAAGGTTAAAAGCATCAATCCTGAAGTCAGGCACACTTGACTTCACATCCCAGCAAGTTATGGAAACTTTCTGAGCCTTAGTTTCAGTATCTGTGAAATGGGATTAATCACACCTACCTTTTGGCAAAACGAAAGCAAAGAAAGAGAGACAAACCAAGAAACAGACTCTTGGCTATAGAGAACAAACTGATGGTTGCCAGAGGGGAGGTTGGTGGGGGGATGGGGGAAATAGGTGAAGGGGCTTAAGAGTACACTTAACCATGATGAGCACTGAGTAATGTATACAATTGTTGAATCATTATATTGTACACCTGAAACTGGTAGAACACTGTATGTTAACTATACTGGAATTAAAATTAAAAACTTAATAAAAAAAGTCACACCTACTTTCTGGGATTGCTGTGATGATTTACTAAGATAACGTTTCTAGAGTACTTAGCACAGTGCCTGGCATATAGGATGGCATAACAGGAAGTGGTAATAGAGGAATACATACAAGTCCTTAATTTCTAATGAATTGAGTTTTTCTACCTCCTGAAGTCTTCATCTACTCTTAAAATTTTGGAGCTAGAGGGAACTTTGCAAACCTCCTAGTTCAGTCCTTTTATTTTTTGGATAAGGAAACAGACCAAGTGACTTAGCCAGATCATAGCAGTGTAGTATAATAAATGCTACAACAGGCGTATGTTCAAATTCTATAAATATACATTTTAAAAACGTCTTTATGGAGCTTTAATTTATATACCATAAAATTTACCCATTTGAAATGTATAATTCAGTGTACATTTTTAGTATATTTGCAAAGTTGTGCGACTATCACCAATTTAAGTTTAGAACATTTTTGTCACTCTAGAAAGAAACCCTGTATCTATTAACAGCCACTCTTCATTCTTCTCCTCTCCCTCCCCTGGATAACCACTGATTAATCTACTTCCTGTCTCTATAGATTGCCTCTATTCTTGACTTTTTGCATTTTATTAATGCAGTCTTATGTGATCTTTTGTGACTGTCTTCTTCCTCTTAGCATAATATTTTCAAGGTTCACCTATGTTGTAGCATGGATCAATATTTTACTTCTTTTTATTGTCCAGTAATATTTCATTGTATGGATATACCACATTTTATCCATCCATTCAGTAGTTCATGGACATTTGGATTGCTTCTATTTTGGAGCTATTATGAATAATGCTGCTTGGATATTTGTATACAAGTTTTTGTGTGGAAATACGTTTTACATTCTCTTGGGTTCATACAAGTGGAATTACTGGATCATATGATAACTGTGTTTAAATTCTTGAGAAACTGTCAAACTTTTCCAAAGCAGCTGCACCGTATTATATTCTCACCAGCAATGTACAAGGGTTCTAGGTGCTCACTATCTTTGCCCCCTTAGTATCTTATTTTTTTATTAGAGCCATTCCAGTGGTTGTGAAGTGGTGTCTCGTTGTGGTTTTGATTTGTATTTCCCTGATAGCTAATGATGTTGAACATTTTTTCATGAATTTATTGGCCATTTGTGTATCATCTTTGGAGAAATGTCTATTCACATCCTTTCCCCATTTTAAAATTGGGCCATCTTTTTATTATTGGTTATAATAATTCTTTATGTACTCTGAATATCAATCTTTCATCAGATATATGGTTTGCAGATATGTTCTACCATTCTGTGGGTTGTCATTTCACTTTCCTAAAAGGTAGCATTTACAGTACAAAAATTGTTAAATTTTAATGTAGTCCAATTTAGTTTTTCTTTTGCTGCTTATGCTTTTGGTGCCATATCTAAGAAACCATTGCCTAATCCAGTGTCATGAAGATTTGTCCCCTGTTTTCTTCTAAGGGTTTATAGTTTTAGTTCTTAAGTTTATGTCTTTGATCCGTTTTGAGTTAATTTTTGTGTATGGTAGGAGGAAGGGTCCTACTTCATTCTTTTGCATGTGGTTATCTAGTTGTCCCAGCACCATTGGTTGAAAATACACATTGTTAAATAGAGTTTACCCATCCTTTTATCTGAACCTTGAAATGAAAGGCTAGATAGCCTATAAAAAACACACTGAGCAAGAGCAAAGACTTTGGGGAAGGGATTTAGCCTCATTAGGTGTGGGGGGTTTCTCCCCTCCCCCAGCCAATTCCTTAAAGTCTAGATTCCCTGCCTATTAATTCACCATTAGAAGTCTGGTTCTGATTTAATTGGTTTGGGTTGAGGCCCTGGTATGAGCGTTCATTAAAAACTCTCTAGGTGATTCTAGTGTGTAGGCACACTTCAAAACTAGTGAACTAAAGGGTTAATAGTCATAAAGAGGACCAAACAGTCCTCCGGAGGCGCTGCTAGAAGGGGAGATAGGCTGAGGTGCTCGCTGGCTGGTGGCACTGCGGGCCTGCTTTTCTCTGCTGAGCTCCAGGACTGTTGTCCTCTGCTCTACAGGTGGCAGCATCTCCTTACTGAAAAAATAGAATTGTACCCTGTCAGTGCTTTTTGGGGTTAGAAGCCCTTTGGGGATGAGGTATGTGAGATAAGAGGACCTCTACATTTAAGGGAAAAAAAGACCAATAGAAGAGAACATAAATCCCAAGCACTATTTTTTCTTCTGTAAGTGAAGGAGAATACTGTTTTGTAGCACAAGAACTCTAAATTTAAATTTAACTGCATTTTTTATTCTACTTCACGACTTTAGTTTTTACTCTTTATTCTGTGGCCACTGTGAAACAATTTGGCTTTGAAGTAACTATGAGAAAAACTGAATTTTGAAATCAAAGATCCTTAGGTCTTTTAAGTATGTAAAATACAAATAAAAGGCTCTTTATTGTCTTAAATCGTATTTGCAGAAAAGCTTGAGGACTGCAGCCTACAAGGTCTGAAGAGTCCCAGTGCCATGGTTTTTGTGTTGCTTGAAATTCTTGCTCTGCCAATAACAGAGTGTATTGGCATGTTCCCTACAGTAAATCTTGCTTTCAGTGATTAGTTCCTCCTCTTATGTTGCTAAAAGGCGTATCTGATGTAAATGCAAAGAAATAACATCAACAACACTCCATATTGTGTTTCTTTTTTTTTAAGTAAATTACCAGTAGCAGACCTCTTGTGATTAGTTTCAGAAATCATTTTGGTATTAGTGTTTCAGAGTCCCATTAGGGATTTGTTTGTGCTCTAGACTAGTGCTCCTCAAAGTGTTTGGGAACCAGTGCGGGTCTGTAAACCGTTTGTTACCAGCCCACAATTAAGGAACACCTAAAAGCTGTGTAGCACTAACTTGACATTGTCTAGACATAGATTTTGTTTTACAAAAACATTGGCCTGCGGTGGATTAGGAAAAACACAAAGCTGGTCCTGCCCAACAGATGGTCAGGAAGCACTGTTCTAAAGGAAGGAGCTTTGAGGAGGAAGTACTTGAAAGAAACTGTCCTTTTTACATTTATTTTCTTTCTCCCAGGGATTTTGTATTGGAAGACATGGATCTAGCCACCAGTGAGCTCAGCATTTATGACAAACTTTCAGAGACTGTTGATTTGGTGAGACAAACGGGCCATCAGTGTGGCATGTCAGAGAAGGCAATTGAAAAATTTATCCGACAGCTGCTGGAAAAGAATGAACCTCAGAGGGGGCCACCCCAGTACCCTCTCCTCATAGCTATGTATAAGGTAAAAATGTGTTCTGATGTGGAGATACCTTACAGAGCATAAACTTTTCAACTTGCTCCCCAAAAACTACTGTCCACTGATTCTACCACTAAACCTTTTTTCTGTGAATAAATTGGCCTTTGCTCTCGTTACTGTGTGTTACTAGGAAATTTGACTATTTTGTTAAATATCCTAGATGAAAAGCTATATATTTATAGTTAAACTGTATTTGTGTATATTTTAAACTGTATTTGTGTATAATTTTTAATAGCCCCAGGTCGTATGATAGAAGCTTGGTGAGCCTTGCAGTCCTCATAGTTCTCAAACTTTCAGTGTTCTCAGAAGTGAATGTAAAAAAAATAATAATAATAAATAAATAAATAAATAAATAAAATTTTTTTAAAAAAGAAGTGAATGTAAATGGCTTGTTTATGAAAATGGATTAGTTCCTAAGGCACATTGGAAATAATAGAAGAGGTGGGTTTTTTTCTTGGCATTAAAGTATTTTGTTTGCTGGGACAATTATTAATCCTTTCCCTGTCTTTCCTTGTAGGTCCTTGTAACCCTGGGATTAATCTTGCTCACTGCCTACTTTGTGATTCAACCTTTCAGCCCATTACCACCTGAACCGGTGCTTTCTGGAGCTCACACCTGGCGCTCACTCATTCATCACATCCGGCTGATGTCCTTGCCCATTACCAAGAAGTATATGCCAGAAAATAAGGGAGTTCCTCTGCATGGGGGTGATGAAGACAGACCCTTTCCAGGTAGAATGCTTCATTTTACTACTTCAGAGATACAGCTCTCTTGACAGTATGTGATGGGAGAGGAAATAACATATATTGACATATAATGAGAAACACTTTCCCTATTTCGTCTCATTTAATTCTGTGGGGACTGATGGGTTTTATTGTCCCTGTTTTGCAGATTGAGAAACTGAGGCTCAGAGAGATTAAGAAACTTGCCAGAAAAACACTTCTGGGGGAGCCATATTCAAACCCCCCGCAGTGCCAAAGCACACATGGTAGAGAGGAGTGTTTTTGTTTTTAGGAAGGATCTGAATGTGTATTATTCTACCCTTTTCTCCTCTGTGCTCCCTATCCATAATAAGCATTTTAACAAATAACTCTTGATTTCCTGAAAGCATCTGAGTCCAGCTTGCTTTTAACCAGATCCTTTAATAGTCCTTGCCTGTTGGACTAGGTTTTTGTCCCAGTTTGTCACGGTCTTTTAGTTTAGTTTTTTCTCTCTCACAGTGTGCTTATTTAGTGCTCCTAAGTATACAGTTTTGCTAGTAAGTTGAATTTAAAAAGCATTTAAACTTAGTAACGGTGCATCAGTGGCGCCACAGGAATTTCTAGTTTGACGCATCATTTGAGGACTTGCCTTCTGAGATTAACATAACATGATAAGACTTGAAATTTACTTTTTGAGAAACAACGGAGGGGATTTTGTTATTTGGTGGTGGTAATCTTATTTGCCCATATGAAGGAATATGTAAATTAATTTCACAGATGGATTTCAGAACTTTTTATGTAATCATGTTCTGAAACCTTTAGGTTCCAGCATAACTGTTCAGGAAGTATGTTTTCTCTTCAGTGTTGCTTTCAGCAAAAATTTCCTAGTGGAAACTACACTTTATAATGCTCCTCTTTAAGCCAAGACCTAATCAGTCATAAAAATGACTTGGATTGAGTCTCCTTTGAAAGCTATTTTTGTACACTTGAGGGAGGAAATTATGGAAAGATTTCCAAAATTATACTAAAATCAGAGGAAGGGACCATTATAAAACAAAAAGCCTTGTGAGGTTTTTTCTTTAATTAGCTCATATATAGAAAGTTTTTAATTCCAGATTTATTGAGAGGGTTGTTTTTGAAATGTCATCAACAAAGGTAAAAAAAAAAAAAAGTGACATTTCCAACATCCCTGTCAGGAAGGTCCAGAGCACACGGGGGAAAGATCCAGAGAAACTTGTCAATCAGGCCAGCCTGTACTGCGTCCTCACATGCATTAGCCTCCTTTCCCTTCTTCCTGTCACTGCCTCCCTCAGGGTATCTTCTGTTCTTTGGCTCACAGAGATGCAGTGTTTAACACCAAGTTGATGGCAGTTACTTTTTTTCTCCCCATCCTGTAAGGAAAATTTCCACAGGCTATTGAATTAAGAAGTGAGCATCGTTGGACCATGATTGCTTATTCTCTAAGTCAGAGTCTAGTAATTCAAGAAACCATAGCATCTCATCCACAAGCCTAACTATTGGGTCCACTCCAAATGAATATTTTGCCTTGCAGATGGAAATAAAATGAGTCCTTGGAGCTCAGTTGTAAAGAGAGAGCATTGAAAGGGTGTGGTTTTAGCTCTCTAATGTTGTTGACTCTATTAAAGTGCTGCTTTTACTTGTAAATGTGGATATTGATGCACCATATTTTCCTGTGTGTGATCATTCTGGGAAGCTGTGGCCATGTAAAACGAACAGCGTATTGCATAGCATTTGGAAGGAAACTTTAGAATGCATAATATTATAAGGGGTAAATGGAAACATATTGGGGAGAATTAGGTACAAGAAATAGGAACTGCTGGGCCCGTAAGAGGGCTAGAAAAGGAAAAAATGAAAGTTATCGTTCCTAATGTCGTCGTACCAAAAAGACAGCTGCCTTTTATTCAGGATTACTTAGTGATACTTTTTTTTTTTTTTTTAAGATTTTTAAAAATTTCTTTGACAGAGACAGTGAGAGAGGGAGCACAAGCAGGGGGAATGGAAGAGGGAGAAGCAGGCTTCCTGCTGAGCAGGGAGCCCAATGCGGGGCTGGATCCCAGGACTCTAACGACTGAGCCACCCAGGCGCCCCAACTTAGTGATACCTTTAAAGTAAATGTAGAGAGAAATGGCATGGCAGATTCGGCTCCCTGAAGGAAAGCCCACAAGTATATTGGGGCTGGCCTGTCTAACTTGTCACCCGTCCCCGCCTCCCCCCCCACCCCCACTCCAGCACCTTGGGAATGACCAAGGGCAAATGTGGGAGCAGTGCTGATGTACCTGAGGCACTGCCACCAATGGTGCTACGTTTCCTCCTGACCTCTGGTACTTTTTCCTCTTGACTCCACCCAGGGAACAAAAGGCAACAGAAGTGGGGTTCTTTTTCTAGGTTCTAGCCTTGGATAGGAAACCCTGCTCCTGAATCCTCTTGATGAGAAGAACGAAGTGACTCTCTAGTGACTCACGTCAACCTCCCACTCTGCAGCAGAAAATAAATAAGCTGACACTTACTTAGTACTTAGCGGATTGCCAGGCCCTGTTCAAAGGGTTTTCCATATATTGTCTCATTTAATCTTCACGATATCCCAGTGAGGTAAGTTCTGGTTTTATGCCTGTTTTAAAGATGGAGACGCCGAGGTACAGTGACATTGGGTCACTTGCCCAAGGTCCCAAGGCTAATGAGTCATAGGATCAGGATTTGACCCCAGGCATCCTATCCTCAGAGTCTGATCTCTTAGCTTCTGCTGGGAGTAGTGTGTAGCCTTATAGTATGCCTGAAGACTCTAGCTTTAAGTTTGATTTTGGGGGAAAAAAACACTTGATTTTGGAGTTCTTCACTCTCAGCTCCCTAGTGCCTAGAACAAGGTTTTGCAGCTGGTACTACAGATCCAAAGATAAGCCAAGCTCTTGGCCCTTTAGAATTTTCCCGATCTGGTCTTTTCCTAGGCATTCAGCCCAGCTCATCTTCCTGGTCTGCACCTTTATGGGTAATATTTGACTTGTTATTTGATTAAGTCCTTTATCTTATTAACCCATAGTTTTCCCTTTGCAATCACATTCTTAGTTCTTGTTTCCCCCCCAGCCTCCTATCTTTATACCCACTTTGATCTTACCAGCCATACTCTTGGCTTTCACCCTTCCATGGCATCACTGAGTCTTAGAGCTAAAAAGGAACTTTAGTGTTGATCTAATGCATAGCCCCATTTTATAAAGAGGAAATGGAGGGCAGGAGAAGTGAAGTAACTTGCTTACCCAGCTAAAAATACCAAACTGGCACTTGAACCTTTGTTTCTTAACTCTAGTCTAGTGTTCTTTCCATCACACCACACATACTGCCTGCGGTTTCTGCCCTCAGCCAAGCCAGGCTCCCTCATGTTAGGCCCAATTACTTTGTTTACTTCAGGCATCTGTAATTTTTTTTTTTAATTTTATTTTTAAGTAATCTCTACATGCAACATGGGGCTCAAACCCACAACCCTGAGTCACACGCTGTACGGACTGAGCCAGCCAGGCACCCCTAGGCATCTATAATTTTTAACTGTGACACCCATTTATACTGAGGAGGCCTGGAATAGTTCCCATCTACAATGAGAAAATGTATCTCTTGATCTGTACTGCATAACTGGAACTTCATGAATCCGTGAACTTTCAAGGGAAGGTTGAAGTAGATCCAGCAACATCAAGGAGTTTTGAGAATAGTAGATCATTCATGGACTTAGAACTAAGGACCTAATCAGAGTCTAGGCCAGTGCCCAAAGATGAAATGCTCGGACCTCAGGAAATGTCCTATTCTTTTATTTGCAAATAAAATTTGAGGTGATAATAGCAACTGTGTCAAGCACTTACTGGATATCAGGCCCTGTGCCATGTACTGGGCCGTGTATTTCCTCAGTAGTCACAGCAATCAGAGTGGTTACCGTTTTTATGTCCATTTCAAAGATGAGACTGGTGTGCCAGGGGATTGACTATTCTAAAGTCTCACAGTTAGAAACCATGTTTTTAAATTGAAGTGTAGTCGACACACAATATTACCCCAGTTTTAGGTGGGCAGCACAGTAATGAGACAAGTCTGTATGTCATGCTGCTCTCCCCACAAGGGTAGCTACCATCTCTCACCATACAGTGTGCTGTTACAGTACCACTGACTGCATTCCCTAAGCTGTACCTTTCATCTCTGTGACTCATTCATTGCATAACTGAAAGCCTGTGCCTCCCAGGCCCCTTCACCCATTTTGCCCATCCCTCCTCACCCCCCTTCCCTCTGGCAACCATCAGTTTGTTCTCTGTATTTATGGGTCTCTTGCTGCTTTTTTTGTTTTGTTTTTTAGATTCCACATGTAAGTGAAATCATACAGTATTCATATTTGCCTGATTTATTTCACTTAGCATAACATATCTTCTATGTTCATCTGTGTTGTCACAAATGGCAAGATCTCATTCTTTTTTGTGACTGAGTAATATTCCTCTGTGTGTGTGTGTGTGTGTGTGTGTGTGTGTGTAACATGTAGGAGAGATCAAAAGTAGCTCTCCCTCTTGAAGTTTGGCTCCCCTAATTCAGATGGATGGCATAGGCTACCCCATTCCAGTGATCCATTTTCCCTCATCATTTCCCTTCTTTCTTTGCTGGCCGCCAGCCTGGCCAGTGTCTCTGCCCCTGTCAGGTACCTCTCCAGAGGCCTGCCTTCTAAGATGACTGAACTCTACATTTTGTAGTTGATATTCTCAGCTTAAGTTTTCATGGTCTCCAACGACATTTTTATTTGGAAAATACATTAAGACACATACAGAGACACAATAAAGAGGTATAAGATTTTTATTTTTAAAAATACAGTTTTGATTAAGAAACTTCTCGGGGCACCTGGGTGGCTCAGTCGTTAAGCGTCTGCCTTCGGCTCAGATCATGATCCCAGGGTCCTGCGATCAAGCCCCACATCGGGCTCCCTGCTCCGCGGGAAGCCTGCTTCTCCCTCTCCCACTGCTTGTGTTCCCTCTCTTGCTGTGTCTCTCTCTGTC